TGAATGATAAAAAATTACAAATCAAATTGAATTAAATCAAAAGAAGCAAAAAAAAAAGAATTATAAGCCTAATTATGAAATGAGAAAATATAATTCTGAAAAAAAAGCATAGGCCCATTGCTTTTTATATGTTATTTCTTCAAGTTTCAATTTGTAACTTGTTTTCAAGTTTTGTTCATGTTTTGTATGTAACATACTTGAAATGAATGAAAATAATATAAAATCATTAGCCTTGGACCAACGTTTGTCCATTATTATGTCATAAAACTTGTCATAGAAATAATATTATAGGCCTAATCATAAGAATGATAATTCACTAGATTACATAATATACTGGTATAGGCCTAATAAGTGTGAGCGCCACACCACCACGCACGCACCACCACCACCACGTACAATCCTTTCTACACGTAACGGATACTACATAATTCAGCGCCACGCCACGGATACTCCACATTAAGTTAATTCAGATCTGATTTACGCCTCGTTACAGGTGAGTGATGAACAGTAACATAACAAGAGAAACCAACCAGCGACTTGCAATAAGACCGAAGCCTGGCAGTAATTGGCCTGCAAGTCGACGATTAAGTGAGCCTATTACTTCCTTTTGTGCACGCTCGGCACAGCTCAAAGGGGCACGCTTCTTCACGTTGCCAAGTACGGTAGATTCTCGGACACTGGCCTTATTGACGGAACTCGCTGCAAAAGCAAAATCACATTCGGACTATTTACTAAAGCGATTGATCAAAGCGACGACAAGCGCTTATCGTGTCGGCGAGCACGTTCTCTCCGATCGGATTTGTTACGAAAGTGTCCACGGACCTATCCAAATCGTCGTCGGAAAACAATAACGAAATAGGACAACCTCTTTGATAGGATGACAATTGAAGTGTGGCAACCCGTTAATTGGTTGTGCGTGTAGATCGACAGCTTCGTAGTTCAACCCCCGTCATTTCTTTCTGATACAGTTCGCGTTTATTATCTATTTTCAGTGACCAGTAATAGATAGCTGGCTTCGTGCCTGAATGGTGCTTTTAGGCATACCCACCACTGACGATACGACAGTAAGATCATAAATTACATCCCTGTCAAAAGGAAATGTTGAGACTTTAATATTATCGATCACATCGGTGAGGACTGATTTTAATTTGACTAATTTGCGCGAGTCAAAAGAGGACAAGTACCATCATTAGCAATCGTGTTTACAACTGACGTACACTCATAGTGCTCAATCGGTGATAAACCAACACTTCATTCGAAGATCTATGATAACACCTTGGCAACTAGAGATAAAATACCTCTGCTACAACTATACGAAACTATTTGGATCCTGATTCCTAAGATCGGTACCGTTTTTCAGGAAATTTTAGGCCGTGGGGTTTATTTGCTTTTTATTACTACTACATGATCCAAATCTGATTCTGTTTGTGGACACCGTCCGTATGTAACGTTATCCGATATTGGTCGCCCTCGTAACAAATTGAAAAGCAGTTTAGTGCTATGCGATCATTTCATATTTGACTTCTGAACTTCTGAATAATTAAGTGACGACGACTACAGTGTTGTTCTGACCAGTGTATTTAATCGAGACTAATAAAAGAAAAGCATATGGACGGAGTAATAGGCCTTCTCCATGCTATGATGGGATCGCCGGCTTCATCCTACTCGTACCCCCTCCCTGGGGCTGTCGGTACATGGCATCCACATTGCTACGACGATCGAGGGAAACAGCACACTCCGTACTTCATAGCCGATATACTATGCGACGTTCAAAAAGACGGAACGACTAGAAAAACGAAATATAGTTTCACATTAGAAAAGACGGAATGCGATGGCCCGCTGTTGAAACGTGGAGGTAGTGTAAGTACCGACTGTAGCGCCGATTTTAGTCCATCTTGGTCATCTTCGTCTGCCGGAGAAAATTTAGACTCCCGCCAGTTTTCCGACGACATGGATCGAAGAGAAGTAACATCGTCTCCAGATATAAATAGCAGTAAGAATAAATTTTATACATTTCCTTGTCAT